AGTATCAAGTGTCTGAGGTCACATTTGAATTCAGGTCCTCCTGACTCCAAGGCCAGAGTTTGATCCATTGCGCCACCTAGCTGCCCCTGCTTTTTTTCTTTCAAAAAAGGAAAAGGAGGAGCAGTTGGGTGGTAGGGTAGATAGAGTGGTCCTGGAGTCAGAAGGGCCTGCATTCAAATCTGATCTCAGACACTTAACACTTACTAGCTGTGTGAACCCCTAGACAAGTCACTTAACCCCAATTGTTTCACTAAAAAGGAAAAGGAGGATACTACCTTTACCCTCCTTTTTAATCTTGAGGAACTTCAGGTCTTAAAGAGTTCAATCAGTCAACAAGTGTTTATTAAAATGCTGTGTTCAGTCCTGGGGGAGCCCCATCTCTAAAGAGAGGGATCAGATAATCAGTCAACAAGCATTTATTAAGCACTTACTATGTACCAGGCACCGTCCTAGATACCAAGGATCCAAAGAAAAGCCAAAACAGACCCTGTTCTCAAGCAATGATAACTTAGAGATAATCTCAGAAGAAAGGCACTAGCTCTGGAAAGGTAGGAAGGCTGTAAAGAGCTTTAAAAGCTAAACAGAAGTAGGGAGCCACTGGACTTTATTGAGGAGGGGAGGGACTTAGCTAGACCTGCGCTTTAGAAAAATCACTGATTACTGAGTGAAGGAGGGACTGGAGTGGGGAAAAACTTCAGAGAGAACAACTAGAAAGCTATTCCACCCCAGCTGTCAGCTGATGAGGGCTGGCACCAGAGCGGATGTTGGGGTCTGAGAAGAGAAGGGAACATATTTGAGGGTTGTTTTGCTCAAACTTCTTTTTATATTCTCTGGCTCGTTATACCCCCAACTTGGAGTCCTGGGGAAAATCTCTTAAAACAGAATTTAGATATGTTTAATAGGAATGTATATGTACAGCCTATATCAGATTGTGCGCCGTCTTGGGGAAGGTGGTGGGGAGGGATGAGGAGAAAAATTTTAAACTCAAAAGCATATGGAAGTGATTGTTGATAAATCAAAATAAATTAATTAAAAAAAAGAAAAAGAAAAAAATAAAGTTCACATCCGATTCCCTGCAAAACAAAACAAACAAACAAAAAAACAGAATTTAGTTCATATTTAGGATCTTCTCCCCAAAGGCATTCATAAGTGAATGTCAAACACAGCATCTGGTATTTGATTCCGGAAGCAATAGGGAGTCACTGGAGTTTATTGAGTAGGGGGTGACATGATCAGACCTGAGCTTCCGGAAAATCACTTTAGTGGCCGAATGGAGGATGGATTGTAGTGGGGAGAGACTTGAGGCAGGTGGACCCTCAGCAGCCTATTACAGTATAGTCCAGATGTGAGGTAATGAGGGCCTGCACTAGAGTGGTGGCAAAGTCAGAGGAGAGAAGGGGGCATATTCAAGAGATGTTGCAAAGGTGAAACTGAGAGGCCTTGGGAACAGCTGGGATATGTGGAGATGAGAGACAGTGAGGAATCCAGGATGACTCCTGTGTTGTGAGCCCGAGGGAAGATGGCGTTGCCCTGTGCAGCAATAAGGAAGGGGGTGGGAGGGTTATCTTCAAAGTTACTAATGATCGTTAATAATGATAATGAATTAAGTTAATAATGAATCACTAAATGCAATGGCTTTTTCTCATTCTTTTTGACATCTCTGTAGCCTTTGACATTGTTGATCACCCTCTTTTCCTTGATACTCTCTTGGTTTTCTTTCTTTTTTTTAGGCAATCGAATTTAAGTGACTTGCCCAGGGTCACACAGCTAGTAAGTGTCTAAGGTGATTTGAACTCAAGTCTTCCTGCCTTCAGGGCCTGTGCTCCACCCATTCGGCCACCTAGCTGCCCACTTTCTCCTGCTTTTCTTCCTATCGATCTGACCACTCCTTCTGGATCTTCTTCCAGATCATGCCATATGTGTCCTGGGGTTCTGGCCTGGAGTCTCTTCTCTTCTCCTCTTTACTTTTTCACTTGGTGACCTCATCAGCTCCCTGGGATTTAATGACCATCTCTAGGCTGATGTTTCTCAAATCTACCCATTCTGCCCTAACCTCTCTGCTAACCTCCAGTTGCTGATCTCCAACTGCCTTTCAGACGTCTTGAACTAGATGTGCAGTAGACATACTAAATTCAACATGTCCAGAACAGAACAGGTGATTTCTAAAGTCCTTGCCAGCCTTGACAATCTGTGCATTTTCGATTACCCTTTCCAGAGTCATTTGCATTTGCAATTTATCTTGAAGATAAATATTCCTAAAGATTAAAAAACATGCCTAGGATCAACTACCCAGCGAAAATGAGCATGATCTTTCAGGGGAGGAGATGGATATTCAAGGAAAATGGGGACTTCCATACCTTCCTGATAAAAAGACGAGAGCTCAACAGAAAATTTGATCTTCAAATACAAGACTCAAGAGAGACATGAAAAGGTAAACGGGACAGAGAGAAACAACATGTTATTAATAAGGGCAAACTGTTTACATCCCTATAAGGGAAGATGATACTTGTAACTCTTGAGAACTGTATTGTTAGTACACCATGTTAAAGGGTTATACATAAAGGGGGTGGGTATAAATTGACTTTGATGTAATGATGAAAAAAGTCTAATCAAGTGGGTTAAATGGATCCAAGTCAGTGGATTAATCTGATCTAACTAAGAAAATGTACCAAGAGAAAAGGAAAGGAGGAGGCAGACAAGGGTAGATTACATTATAGGAAAAGACACAAAAACCTATTACAGCAGAGGGAAAGAAGGGAGGGAGATTAGCATTGTTTGAACCTTACTCTCATCAGATTTGGCTCAAGAAGGGAATAACATAACCAGTTAGGTATAGAAATGCCCTATAGGCAGTAGGAGGGAAAAGGGGAAAGAAAAGGGAAGGGGGGATAGTAGGGAGGGAAGGAGTAGTAAAGGTAAAGGGGAAGAAAAGGGAGGGGGTTAATAAAAAGGAGGTGAGACTGAGGGAGGCAGCGGTCAAAAGCAAAACATTAGGGAGGAGGGAAAAGGAGAAAGGAGAAAGAAAAGCATAAACGGAGGGTGGGGGGAAGGATGGAGAAAAAGACACAGATAGTAATCATAGCTGTGAATGCAATATATGAATATGATGGAATACTATTGTGCTATAAGAAATGATGAACAGGCAGACTTCAGAAAAACCTGGAAAGACTTATATGATCTGATGCTGAGTGAAGCGAGCAGAACCGGGAGAATGTTGTACACAGTAACAGCCACGTTGTTCGATGACTAATATTGATAGACTTAACCCTTCTCCTCAATACAAGGATCTAAGACATCTCCAAAAGCCTCGTGATGGAAAATGCTATCCACATCCAAAGAACTATGGAGTTTGAATACAGATCAAAGCATACTATTTGCTATTTTTTCTCTTTTGTTGTGCTTTGTTTCCTCTTTCTGGTGGTTCATCCTACTGGTTCTAATTCTTACTTACAACATCACTAATGTGAAAATATGTTTAGTAGGAATGTATATGTATAGCATATATCAGATTGCACACCTGGAGGAAAGGGGAGAAAAATGTAAACTCAAAAGCTTAAAAATAAATAAATACTGAAAAAAAATTAAAAAATATGGAAAATGGTGGAATTTCAAGTGTGTTGCCTGGTTAGTAGGCAACAATTTTTTGGGGCCCTAGATAGGAAAGAATCCTTTAAAATCCACCAAGTAGCTGTGTGGTAATAGAAAAAACACTGGCTCAGGGAGTCAGGAGACTAGATAAGCTCAGCTACTAAACTCTGGATCTAAAAAAAAAAAAAAAAAAAGTGGGCTTTGCCCTGAGTTAGTCAGACGTGAGTATGAATCCTGCTTTAGACACGGTTTTTTTTTAGCTGCATGACCCTAGGCTAGTCACTTAACCTCTGTCTTCTTCAGTTTGCTTCTCTGTAAAACGGGGATAATAATAGCACTTCCTTCCCAGAGTTGGCATACGGATCAAATGAGATAATACTTGTAAAACATTTAGCCCAGTGCCTAGTACATAGTAAGTGCTACATAAATGTTAGTTATTTGTGTTTATTATTATTATAAGGCACCTGCCTTACAAGGTTGTAGTGAGGATCAATTGGGATAACACATGAAAATCTCTTTGCAACTCTTAAAGGCTATAAATCGCAAAAAGAAGGCGTGACCAGAATCGTTTTAGGGAGTTTCCTCTTCCTGGTAATCTCTATGTCAGAAAAGTCGGTTCTAGCCCTTTTCCCTCCATTGCAGAGGTGAAGATTATTGTAGATGTTCCGGGCTGGTTAGAGAAACCGCTCCTCCCTCTCCGCCCCCGCCCCTTCCGAAACCCTATCCTCAAACTTTTAATCTTTGCTACGGGAAGGGGGAGGTGTGAAGCGATCCATTTTAAAGTGAATGTGATGTTGGGGGTAGCTAAGTGTGGAAGTGGATAGAGCACCCGCCCTGGATTCAGGAGGACCTGAGTTCAAATCTGGCCTTAGACACATAACACTTACTAGCTGTGTGACCCTGGGCAAGTCACTTAACCCCATTGCCTAGCCAAAAAAAAAAAAAAGTGAATGTAGTGTGAAAAGACTTCAGTAAACAAGTAAAAAGCAATGATCTTGGACTAGATGATCTCTGATACGCCTTTCAGTACTGACTTTGCCCCTCCGTCATTGTTTCTCCAGGAGAGTTAATTTGATGGGAGCTGGAGGGCAAAGGTCCATCCAATCTCAAGGAGCCCAGAAAGAAGGAGGCAGGTCGATTTCCTGGTGACGTCACTCTAAACCAGAGGAAAGTTGCTTAGAAACACAGGGGCTCCAAGAAGGACATGCGCAGGCGCATTGCTACCGCAGGCGACCCTATGAAGGGAGTATGCAAAGAAGTCTTGGGCGGAGGCGGGGGTGGAGCGGGTTCCTCTGTGGACACGCCTCCTCCCTGTCCTGGGGGAGTCCGGACTACGATTGGGAGACTGGGAGGAGGCGGAGCCAACGCGTTGACGTCACGGGACACGCTGCGTAAAACGTCAATGTCGGCGAGGTTTCCGGAAGCTGTGACAGGAGCTGCTCTGGAGGGGAAGATACTGAGTCCCGGGGGCGGGGGGCTGCGCACCTGACCGGGCCTCCCCCACCGGACCCGGGTGTAGTCCGGGTCCCGGTTCCGATCCCGAGAGGCGCAGACAGGCCGTCCTGGCCGGCCGCCCGCAGGTCGAGTACGTGGGGCTCCTGCGGCGGGCCCTGACTCTGTGCTTGCCCTCCTGGGGACCCCTCCCTCCCCCCCCATCCCCGCTTGTCTCCCTGTGCTTGGCTCGGCGGGGGGGCTGCACGGGGCCAGTGGGGGAGGGCCCCCGCCGTCGTTAGGGCTCAGGGCTGGAGTGACCTTAGCAGTGCTCTGGTCTGTCTGCCTTTCAGTAAAAACGGATGGAGATCCTGAAGCCCAGAGGGCAGAAGGGATTTCTCCCCAAATGATGTTTTGGAAAGACTCTAAATTGGGCGTCACAGGACCTGGGGGTTTGAATGCTGGCCCTCAGATTTGTTGGGAAAGTAGCTTAACCTCCATGTTAGTTTCTTTATCTCTAAAATGAGGGGGTTGGACCAGATCAGTTCTTAATCTTTTTAGGTGTCATGGACCCCTCTGGAAATCTGGTGAAGCCTCGGAAGAATGTTTTTAAATGCATGAAATAAAATACATAATATTACAAAAGAAGCCAATTCTATTGAAATAGTTATCAAAATATTAAACAAGTTCAAGGACCCCTGAACTAGGTGATTTCTGAGCTGACACCTTCCAGCTCTTACTCTTAAGATTGTCTGGACCAAGGGTTCATAAGCTTCTTGTCCAATTCTTTTTCCACAGTGATCTGCTGGAGGAAGAGGGAGCTGCTCTATGTTTTTCCCCTGCCCAGAACTGGTAGTGACTGGTGGGAGTTTTAAAGTTAAGTGTTTTTTTTTAATTCTATTTTTAAACCTTTTCCATTTTAGCTCTTAGATATTCAAGGAAGATGTGTGTGGATCGTGGGAGGTATTCAGGATTTTGGAGTTGGGAACAAAAGCTGTACTAGATGGGTTACTGTCCTTTCTAGAGAAAGGATTTGAGGGAGTTGGTAAAGTCGATTTGAACCTTATAAAAGAATATTGTTTGAAGTAATGATAGAGAGGTTCCACGAAGTTATCAGGTTATCCTTTTGGGGAGTAGGAATGTAAGAATATCAGTATCTGTAGGTAAATAATAGAATATCTAGAGGAACCAGGAGATTTTTTTCCCTATCTTTTCCCCTTACCTACTCCTTTCCTCATTAATGTGTTATGTTTAATATTTCCTCTTTAACTTAATGTAGGATGCAGTCACTAGAACAGGAGGGGTGTGGGCCAGAGGGGACACCCAGTGCTATGTCTGAGGCCCAACCTGATCCTCCACCTGCCCCACCTAAGCCTCCAGTGCTTGACCTCTTCAACTTGGTCCTGTTTTACAAGAGGCTCGTTCTCTACTTGGAGCCCCTCAAGGATGCAGGCGATGGGATCCTTTATTTGCTCAGGTATGGTCTTCATGGAGTAGGGATATCTGGTATCCTGGACATTCGGCTTTCCCACTTTGCTGTAATAGCTGTTCAGAAACCTGGGCTGAATGTCACAGCAGCTTAGATTTGACTCCTTGTTCTGGGCAGCCAAGCCAGGGAGGCTGTTTTAGTCTGAGGCACTCAGGCAACAAGCATTTATTTAGCACTTACACTATGTGCCAGGCACAGTGCTTAGCACTGAGGATTCAAAGAGATGTAGAAGACAGTCCCTGATCTCAAGGAGATCACAGTCTAGCAGGGGAGACAATATGCAGTATAGCACATTGATGTGTTTTAGTGTATTCTTTTTTTTTTCCTCCTAGAGAAATAAAACTGAGGATGTGGAGAGATTGTTTAAAGGAGGATCTTGGGTTAAAACCCCTCCATCCAAATCTTTGGAGTCTGTTATTTCTATACCTTTAGGAGCCTGAGGGTATGAGATAAACCTGTTCTTTGGCTATCTCTTCCTTTCCTAGTAAAGAGCAGTTGGTGTTGAAAGGGTTTTAATCTTGGTCTGTAGTGATGACATCAGATCTGTGTAATCAGCCATGGTTTCCTAAAAGGTACCTCTTCTGTGAGCAGCCCTTCCTGTGGGTAGTAGCCCTGAAGCCACAAAAGTCATCTTGAAGGGGGAAGTTAGCATGGAAGAAGCTTTAATGATAGAGCAACTTCAGTGGGGATGTGGTGTTTTTCACACGGTGAAGAGGTTGGGGTTTCAGGGTTAGTTCTAAAGAGCTTTCTTGTGTCCTACCTACTATACCCTCATTAATTGCTACCACATAATGAGTGGGTCTTGATTAAGATAACATAAGCTGTAGTTGGACGCTAGATAAGCTTTCAGAGAAATACTATTTCAGAGAGTCTCAAGTGTTTTTTTTTTTCCCCAAAGAAAAGTATATTTACATTAAAGCAGAGAAATTAACTTTATTTGGAAAATTAGATCCAATTAGATAGAATAAATAGTACACATTGTAAGACTAATCAATCTTGAATGTCTTTTTTTATTTATATTGCTTTTGGCTTCCATCTCTTTGCTTCTATCTACTTTTTTTTTTTTTTGGGTAGGCAATGGGGATAAATGATTTTCATCCACTTTTAATCTCTGCTGGGCACTGAGTACCCTATGCTCACAATCAAGAGATCACATGACAGATATCCTACTCTTCTGAGACTTTCTTTACAGGAACTGAACTTCCTTTTAAAGGGAATGCATGTAACTGCGCTGTCTTCCCCAGGTACTCCTGATGTACTCACTCAGGGTCCCTTACTTCAGGAAAATGATAAAACCTGCCTTTATAGAATCATCAAACTCTGAATTACAACGAACCTCAGAGGTCATCCGGTCCAGTCCACTCTTGAATAGAACATACCCTTATCCGCTGATTTAGTTTAGGGGGTCCTAACCCTTTTTTGTGTCATAGACCCCTTTGGCAGGCTAGAGAGCCTGTGGACCCCTTTCTTAGAAGAATGCTTTTAAATAGTGAAAGAGATGTCAAATTTCAGATGGAGGTTACTGAAAAGAAAGGTGTAATTTTTTTTCCATCCAAGTTCATGGACCCTCTGAAATCTACCCACAGATCCCCAGTTGAAGCACCCCTGCTCCGGTCCTCTGAGATGGTTGTTCTTCTCATCACAAGGATTAGATGTGACTTGTTCCCCACAGGTCTCCCCTCCTACCCCTGACATACTTACTAGGCCTCCCTCCTGTCCTTGCCCGTCACTTGACTCAAGGAAAAGTCTGTTCATTATTTGCCATTTCTCTTCAGTCTCATGTGTCCTGTCTTTGCTGCTTGCTGGCTCTGTGGTACCATGCAGGGTTTGCCTCCCTTTCTGATATTCTGTAGGAGGGAATGGAACACCATCTTTACTGATCGAGGTTTTCTGTGTTCTAGGTGGCAGACACCAGTGTGTTCCTTGCTGACCTGCCTGGGCCTCAATTTCCTCTTCCTCACTCTGAACGAGGGTAAGTACTGGTTTGAGGGCTGAGGTAGGGCCCACGTATTAATGAGAGGTAGAAAACCTGCACGTTGGGGGTGAATAAGAGGTAACTTCTCCTTTCACTTTGATAACATTGCCACATGGAAGTATTTAACGTGCTTAGAGTATGCCGAGGAACAAGGACAGCCAGCCCCTGGTGCCATGCCAGTTATAGTGTCCTGTCCTTGCTCTCTTTTACACCAAACAGCTCTTCTGGATGGACCCAGGGCCTTCTTCCATCTTCGCTTCCAAAAAGCTGATTCATTGAGGCTGATAGCATTCAGAATAGCAGATAAAGGATTTTTGCTTTGTAGAGACAGAGTAGGATCTGGAGACAGGAAGACCTGAGTTCAAATTCTGCTTCAGACACATGCTAGCTGTGTGACTCTGGGCAAGTCACTTAACCTCTATTTACTTCTGTTTCCTCATCTGTAAAATGGGTGTAATAATAGCACTCACTTCCCTAGGGTTGCTGTGAGGCTCAAATGAGATCATGTTTGTAAGTACTTCGCAGACCTTAAAGCGCTCTCTAAATGCTGACTGTTCGCTATTGTCAAAGTGCCATTGATCTGTGCATTAGCAAGAACATGAACAAGGTCAGGGAATGATCGTTGGTGAATGGAGAATTGATCAGCCTATCAGTTGTGGAAGCTTGAATTAGGCAAGATGCTGATCACATGTACTCAGAGGAAGTTGAGGCTTGAAGTTTTTGGAGCAAATAGATGATCAGATGAACAAGTGTACATCAGAAAAGGATAGTGGAAGCTAGGTTGTAGCTGTGTTCTGGATGGCGGCCTTATGAGAGAGTTTTCTGGCTGGTATTATTATATGTGAACCTTTTTACACATGCTGGCAGTGCTTCTGGCTTCATCCAGGTAACTGCGGAAAAGGGAGGACCAAGCCACAGATTGGTCTGAGTCAAAAGGGACATACAGGAATTCAGATAAAATGTACCGAAAAGAATAAATTTAGAACTTGGGAAATCTCTCTTCCTTTGTACCGATCCTTGTTGAGAGATCTGCTTGGCTGATTAGAACTTGTCTGTTGATGAGTTCAACAAATACCAAACACCCACCCCTATGTTAGTGTAAATGATGTACTGAGTATACAAAAGTGACAAGTGACATGGTCATATGATCACATGTTCTCAGGGTGGTAAGGGACCCCAACATCACCGAGTTCAACCCATACTTGAACAAGAATCCTCTCTCTAACATCATCAACAAATGGTCATCCATCCTTGACTTGAAGACTTCTGTTGAGTTCTTCAGTCCACTATCTCCTGATGCTCTGATTGTTAGGAAGGTTTTTTTTGAGGTCTAGTCAAAATTTGCCTCTTTGAAACTTCCATTTGGTGCTGTGCCAAGCAGCCAATATCTGCCTGATCCCTTTTCTCTGTGCCAATTCAAGGACTCGAAGACAGCTACGTTTCGCTGTCCCTTCTCAAAGCTAAACATTCCCAGTTTTTTCAAATGATTCTCATATTCTCTTCATCATTATAAGTCACCCTCCTTCAACTGTTTGCCACCTTCTTGTTGTCCTTCCTTAAATAGGTTAATCAGAATTGAGCAGAATACCCCAAATGTTGTCTGAGTGGGGCAGAGTGTGGTAGGACTATCACCCACCTAGTCTGGGACACTGTGCCCTCCTAATGCACTCTGGTATTACATTAGCATTTTTTTAATCTGTTAGGTGTCTCTGTTGACTCATATTGATTTTGCAGTCCACTAAAACTGCCAGATATTTTCAGATGAACTGTTATCCAGCCATGTCACTTTACTTCCCCCAAGTCTTTGTGGAGTTGAAATTTTGAACCCATATGTAAGAATTTACATTTATACCTGTTACATTTCTTTTTATTTAATTTAGTCCACTGTTCTATTTGAGATCCTGACTCTGTCCTCTATTGTGTTAGCTATTCCTCCTAGCTTTGCAGAGTTGGTAGTCATACCATGCTTGTGATTTTATACAGATTGTTACTAGCCATGACACAAGGGCCAAGCACAGACTCCTGAGGTGCTCTACTAGAGACCGTCCAAAGTGACGTCTTTGAATCTAGTCCTGCATCATTTTCTGACCCACTTTACTGTCATCTCTCCATCTTGTCCACAAAAATAGCATGAGCAACCTTGTCCAATGCTTTGCTATAATCCAGGTAAACTATCACTGTAGCAGTTCCCTCACTTTCTTGTCTAGTAACTGTCAGTAAAGAAAACAAGATTAATTTGTTATGATTTTGTCATTAAAATTTTTTTATTATTAACTTGATCAACAAATATAAGACATTTCAGCGTACAAAGAATAACAAAGACTTTATATGAAACTGAACTTAAAGTGTATGTTGAATTTCACAGAAGCGACAAAATTGCCCTCTGTGTCCCCTTTAGAGTTTATTAAAAAAAAATGTTTTATTGACATTAGCTAGCACTTAATGGAGTAATTTAAGGTTTACAAAGTGCTTTCCAAATATTATCTCATTTGATCTTTACAACAACCCTGGGAGGTAAGTGCTATCTTCATTTTAGAGATGAGGAAACTGAGGCAGAGGGAGGTTAAGTGACTTACGCCAGGGTCATACAGCTAGCAACTTTCTGAGATTAGATTTGAACCCAGGTCTTCCTGACCCCAGTATCAATGTTTTTATCCACTTTGCCCCTAACTGGTGTTCTTTTCTTTTTATCTTTCTTTCTTTCTTTTTCTTTCTCTCTCCTTTTTTTTTCCTCTTTCTTTTGCATCTTTATCACTATACACTCACTCTCATATAAAAGCCCTTTCTTGTAATTCATAAATATGATCATTCAGAACAAAAGTCAATATATTGACCATGTCAGAAAATGTCTCCTTCTGTACCCTAATCCATCAGCTGTCCAACAAGATGTGTACGGCTTGCTTCCTCATCAGTCTGTTGAATTTGTGATTTGTAACTGTTGACTCGAGTTCTGTCTTTCAAAGTTGTTTTCTGTTGATTATTTTCACCATCATTTGAGTTGTTTTTCTGGTTCTGTTCAAGATACTCCGTATCAGTTTATGCAGGTCTTCCCAGATCCTTCTGGATTGGTCACATTTGCCATTTCTTGGAGTGCAGTAGTAATAATTCATTTCATTCATAAACCACAGTTTGTCCAGCTGTTCCCTGATTGGTGGACGCCTACTTTGTTTCCAGTTCTTGGCCACAACCAAAAGTGCTGCTATAAATATTGTTGGCTGTAATGTGTCCTTTCCCTTTGTCTTTGATCTCTTTGGGGCATACCTTTGGTAACCATATCACTGGATCAGAGAGTGTGCACAGGTTAGCGATTTCTTGGCATGGTTCCAAATGGCTTTCTAGAATGGTTGGACCACCTATTAGTGCATTAGTGCCTGTCCTCCCACATCTCTTCCCAGCACTTGCCATTTTTGTCTTTTGTTATTGTCAGTCTGATGGGTATGAAGTGGAACTGCAGTTGTTGGAGCATTTTTTCCCTTGTGGTTTTTGGTAGCTTCAGTTTCTTCATTTGAAAACTGCCTGTTTGTATTCTTTGATCATCTCTGTCTTTTTTTTTTTTAATTTAGTATTTTATTTTTCCCTACTTACATGTAAAAACAATCACCTCTGTCTTGATGCTGGCTTTTTGTTATGACTGCTTCCTTTGCTATATGCTCCATAACCATACCTTAAATAATAGATTAAGGAATGTTAACAGGTTTACCAGCCTTTAGTTTGGAGGCTCCATTTGTTTCCTTCCCTGTTTTTGGATATCAGGACAACTATTTTTTCCTTTTCTAGTCCTGCAGCCATTCTCTTATTCTTCATGTTTTAAAGATCATTGACAGTGACTCAGTTAACACATCCGCTGTCTTTTCAGCTCGCCAGGATATTGTTCAGTTGGGCTTAGTCACTCAGTCTCATCAAGGCCTCTAGGGTTTTGCTTACTATTTTCCTACTTATCTTGGCTGTCACCTCCCTATTAGCCATATTTGTTTTGCCCTTTACAGTCAAAAGAACATTTTTCTTGGCAGAGAAAAAAGAAGCAAAATAGGAATGGAGCAGCTCTTCCTTTTGTCCATTGTTGTTATCTTTGCTGCACATGCCCTGGATGGTGGGCTTGTCCTGTCTTGGGCTTACTTTGCTTTCCTTTTTTTTTGGTTGTCTTTGGCTTTCCTTGCCAGCCTCAGCTTGTTCTGAGCTTTAGCGCTCCTGACGCTGCTCCTACAAAGCTCTGCCATGCTTTTGCATTTAACCTTCCTTGCTTTCATCTTTTATATATGTTTTTAAAAAAAATCTAATTTAATGAGTTCCATATGCATCCACATCCGTTCCCATAACTCTCCTTGTTTCTCCTTATCAGAATTTATTTCCCCTCCCTCAAGGAGCTAACAATTTAGCCAGATGAGGAGACGTATTCACATAAATAATCATATTTTGACTTGTAATGTAATTAAGTGCAGAGGAGAAGTGTTGTTGTTGTTGTTGTTTTTTTTTTTTTGGGTGAGGCAGTCGGGGTTAAGTGACTTGCCCAGGGTCACACAGCTAGTGAGTGTTATGTGTCTGAGTCACATTTGAACTCAGGTCCTGTTGACTCCAAGGCCAGAGCTCTATCCACTGCACTACCTAGCTGGCCCTAAGTGTTGGCTTTTTTGAATAATCTAGTTAAGGAAGCTTTGAATTACAAGTCAAGTGGATTATCATAGTTCATAGCTGGCCAATCTTTGTCCCCTTTCATCTGAAGATGAAAATAGTGCCTTGAGAGTTCTGATAGACATTCAGGAGCTTCTCGGAGCCAGGAACTGATGCTGAAACCATAGGGAGAACACCTGACCGTGACTGGTATCCTGGGCAGCTGCCCAGTCCTGGGATGCCCTGTACCCTTGAGAGTTAACTTGTCTGACCTGCTGCTCTCTTGCCTTTAGGTGCCTGGTACTCAGTGGGTGCCCTGCTGATTTCTGTGCCTGCCCTGCTGGGCTACCTGCAGGAGGTGTGCCGGGTCGGCCTCCCTGAGCCTGAGCTGATGCGGAGGAAGTACCACAGCGTGAGGCAGGATGATCTGCGGAAGGTCCGGCTGTCACGGCCTGAGGCTGTGGCAGAGGTGAAGAGCTTGTGAGTGTGAAACGTGAGATGGGAGATGACTGACAGGGTGGTTGGGACGAGTAATATCTAGCCAGAGTGTGGTTGGACCGGCTCTTGGGTTTCAGAGTGGGAGTCCAAGAGCTTGTCACGGCCCTCCTTTTCCATTGTTCCTGGTTTCCTCATTCTTCAGCTGTGTTTGAAGAAGGCCATTGACCTCTACTATTGGGCTTACTAATGAAATGGAGACGCAGGTTCCCTGGCACCCTTGGGTGCTCTTCATGGCTGCTTCTGTGTGTCTTTACAGCTTGATCCAGTTGGAGAGCTTCTTGAATCAATTGTGCTGTAGGTGTGAATCGGTCTATCGAGTGCTGTACTGGGAGAACCCAGCAGTGTCCTCGCAGTGAGTCCCGTCTTTCTTTCCCTCCCTGCAGACGTCTCTAGTTCTTCCAACCCCATCGGTGCTCCGAAACTGGGCTTCTACTTCTGGCTGTGGCCACAACTTTTGTGCAACCTTACGGGCATTATTTCTTCTCACTCAGTTTTTTCACCTAAAAAATGAGATGTTTGGGCTAGGTGATCTAAGGTCCCTTTCAATTCTTTTGTTCTGTGACTAATAGAATCAGCATCAATGAGTTTCCAGCTTCATCCCCGGGAAAAGGTGGTTGGTTACCTCATGGGGAAGGGCAAATTAATTTCTTCAATAAGGGGAGAAGGGGAGCTCTCATATCTGCACACACTGTGTGTATAGCCATACGATGTATCCTTGGGCAGAGGTGCTGAGAGCTGAGCTTCTGGCTTTGACCTCCTGGCTGGGGTGAACTTAGAACTGGGGGCCAGTGGATACAGTGGAGAGCTTGCTGGCCTTGCAGTCAGAAGCCTTGCCTTTGGTTGCTCACTCTGATACTGTCTGTGTGACCCTGGGCAGATCACTGAGCTTCTCAACCCCTGCTTCCTCCTTTATCAGATGGGGCTGAAGTGGCCCCTGTCCGGCCTTGCTCACAGCATGATTGTGATGTAGGCGCTCTGCAGGTGGTCAGGTGCTGTTACCTGACCTTGCTCTTTGACTTCCTTTCTGCAGATTCTATGGGGCTCTGTTGGGCTCTGTCTTCGTGCTGTATGTGTTACCCCTGTGCTGGGTCCTTGCCCTTCTCAACAGCACTCTCTTTCTGGGAAATGTGGAGTTCTACCGAGGTGAGCGCTTCAGGGGGCTACGTACTGCAGTGGCAGGGGGGTGCCTCTTGGATGCTACAGAAAGCAGCAACTCTTGGAAGTTGTGCCTCTGTCCTGTGACTGGCTAGTTTGGTCTCAAGGCCTGTCTGCTCCACCAGGGGGCAGCACCCTATTGAAGAAGTCCCTCCACTCATAGCTCCAGGATGGATGCTGCATCTCCGGGATACGGCCTGTGCCTGTTGGGGTTCTTTCCCCGTGGCACATGGCTCATCGTCTCTGTGCTGAGGTTGACAATAATAGAATGATTTACTTCTTGTAACAGTCACTCCACCTAGATTAGAAAACCTTTTGATGTAGCTATCCCCCTAGTTTGTCCGCTGCCTTGTGCCCTAAAGAGACATCTGGAGACCTCTGAGTCATGGTATGCTGGTGCAAAGATGTATGTGGGTTTTGTATTTTTGTGTTTCATGAGGTGTTTGAGCCAAAAAATATCATCACGTGGTGGCAAAAATGTGCTGGACAACTCTGTACTTATCTAGACTGGTTCTTTTAAAAAAAAAATTACGATACATTTTATTTTGACAAGGCATTTCATCAGCAAACATTCAGAGAAAACCACTTTCGAAGTACTGAAGTAACTGAAAACAGTTATGCAAAGCCATCCAAGAGAATGTTACTAATAGCACATAATGTTTTCTCCTCTCAGAGTTTCCTGATTGTTTTAAAAAAAATTTATTGATCTCTTTTGCTTTTATATCACCTGCATGTAGCCTGATGGTATATGCAATGGACCCATAGTCCCCCTCCTCTACAAAGAAGAGAGAGAAATTAGACTAGTTCTTGAACCATACTTGAAACCTTTCAGTTTTGTAGTACTTGCCAGAGTTTGAGTTCAGTTGGCATAACTTCCAAGGACCCGGGATCACTTCCATCATCTACATGAGGCCTGAGAGTAGGAATTTTGTGGATGGGAGAGGATTGTGATTTCCTATGGAGGAGCAGCCTTGCTGATGAGAGATCATAAAATCTAAATGTATATTGATGCCTCTGGATTTATCTTTCTCCATCGGGTATTCTTCCCCAGACATTTTGAGGTGAGAGGAGAAGGGTGAGAACATTTTTTGTAAATAGGGGGTGGTTTGCTGAATTAAGAGTCATGTAGGCTGCTGATCAATCAGGAAGCATTAATTGAGTGCTCACTGTGTGCAATTCACTGTGCTAAGTCCTGGGGACACAAAGAAAGGCAAAAATAGGCCATGCCTTCAAGGCACTAACATTCTAGTCCCGATGGAGAAATCTCTAAAGAGACTTTTTATTCTGTTTCTGTACCTTTGCCTCGCTTGCCCCTGGATAGTAGTGGCAGAATACCGGGCTACCCTGCAGCAGAGGATGAACCCTAAGCTTCCAGTGAGCACTGAGGAATGCCTGGAATCAGACGGTGGGGGAAGAGGAGCATTGCTGGACTGCAGTTCAACCCCTACTCCCACCGAGGTGAGTATGTGGCACTGAGATCCTTGGAACCTGCCCCCTAGTGAACTTCCCTTAGTGATATGCCAACTGCTCTGTGTGGCTTCTTCTTTTGGAATTCTTCATCTCACTTGGCTCCATCCTCTGTGAATTTCTTCAGGCTGAATTGTGGTTTGGTTCCTATTTCTCCCATGAAGGTGCCTTTCTCAGTCTTCTATCTCAAAACTTGCTTCCTTAGCGTATCTCCCCTGGCAGGAGCAGGCGTCCTTGGCCATGCTGATCTGGCCAGGGGAAGGCTTCTCTGCCTTCATAGATGATGTCCTAGGCCTTTCTTCACAGGACCTCACACCAGGCAGTGTGGAGGAGGCAGAGGAGGCTGAGCCAGATGAAGAATTTAAAGATGCTATTGAGGTGGGTATCCTTTTGATAGAGCCCTGTATCCAAGAGTCCCTAAGGGGTTAATAGCCCGGGCGCTTCTGGTGTCTAGTTTCTTTTTATTTTCCCAAAATGAGGGGCTCAAATCCAGGGTTGTTCCTTCTATAAATTTTCTTGGCTCTGGGGTTCTTGGTTCTTGGCTTCTGTGAGGTCTTGCATGTAGTCTTCTTGTCCAGTTTTATATCACTGGGCAGCCTTCACGGATAGCTTGCCAGATCTTTGGGCAAATACATTTCTTGTCAGTAGCTTGGTGGTTATTTTGTGAGAGTTGGATGGCTTAATGTCTTCATTTTTTTCGTTTTCAAAAATAGACCAACCCATTGGGAATTCTCTTGAAGAGGATGGGGAGGGTCTTAGGGCTTCTGATGGTAAGGAAAGTAAAGTAAGGACTTCCCAGAGACTGAAAGTAGGTTTTAGACAGTGGAGAAGTGTGGGATAACCTGAAGCTCTAGAGCTTCAGGATCGTTGCCTTGTAGCAGTCTCTCCTCTTCCCTTGCTATCTGTCTCCTCTTCTTTTCTCTCCTTCTTCCCCCTGCACCCTGGGAGGCAGGAGACCCACCTGGTGGTGCTGGTGAGTATGACTGTGTTGATGGGGAAGGGACAGGGTGGATGGTTGGGCTAGGTGAACCTATTTCCTGGCTTTGTGCAGTGTGCTCCATCTTTGGATTTTAGCCACATGTCTCAGGGCCCAGTCAGCTGCTGGATAGAGCTGAAAGGTACTGTTCCCACAGGAGGATGATGAGGGATCTCCCTGCAATGTGGAATATGATCTGGCCCTACACGACAATGGTTTTATGAGCAAGAATGAAGTAATTCGAAGCAAGGTGTCTCGACTCACTGAGAAGCTCCGAAAACGTTATCCCACCAACAATTTCGGTATTTGATTGGAAGAGAGGAAGGGAAAGTTTGGGGCAGAGGAGGGAAGTCGGGGCTGAGAAGGTGGGTGGTGTTTAGCTCCAGATATTAGGATTTGAATATTAGGTCTGGGACCCTAGAATTGGGACAGAGGCAAATCTAGTTTGGGGTGGGGACGCTGAACTTGAGCGTCTCCGTACTTGTCTTTAGAGACTGAACATGAGTTTTCAGGGAGGTAAGGAAATTAATACCAGACCAGGCAGTCCCAGGAATTGTAGAATAGTTTGACTCTGAGGTGAACTGTATTTTAGGAAGGCCTGAATTCTTCTAGAAATACCTAGGACCCTAATTCACCTGTTCAGTCCTAAACGGAAACAAGGTGAAGCACGTAGCTTTTTCCTCCTAGGACTTAGTTCATTGTGTGCTTGTGGAATGTCTGTCAACTTCAGATTCATGTATTTTGGTCAGCCCTTCATCTGTTGGGGAAGGGGTATGTATGGAGTCGCAGGGTGCGCCTGGCTGTGCTGCTTAGATCCTGGCTTAGGACGCTGATGCTTGACGGCTAGAGCGGCTCGGTTTCTGGGCACGTGAAGGATCTTCACACCTTGGTTCCTCCCTGTTGATAAGCCTTGGCTGAGAGGTCAGAAAGGCAGCCTTATTTCTCCAGTCCCCACAGCAGCCATGGCACCCAGGACGGGGCAGATTTGGAGGAACTTGATTGAGGAGGTGTGGCACCCGTAGCCTACACAAGCTATACGAGCTGGTGGTCGGCTGACTTAGGAGATGAGTTAGTGACTAGAAGAGTCCAATTTCCTTTCCTTTCAGTAGCTTGATGCATAAGGACCTCTTTCCCAGATGCCTTGTGTCACACTTCCCTGTTAGTGTGTGTGACCTTGAGTTTAGACATTTCTTCCCTGGGAGAGGAGAGGCCTTTCTGGGGCCCCTTTCTGGCTTACAAGGGGAGCCAGAGCCTCTCTGAGGCCATCCTATTCTATAGGCCTTTTTGTGTCATCTCCACACCACACCCCTCTCTCACCACCCCAGTCCTACCCCAGCTTTTGAGCTGCATGGGCACTTGAGCAGTAGCCCTGGGCCTGCTTGGTTTATTTTGGTTCTGAGCCAAGGAGCTCCTTCTCTCTGATCTTATCGGCTTCTGGGTCGGCCATCCACTGGAGGGTGCTAGAGCTGTTTGGGAAGAATGAGCAGGAGCTAACCTTGTTCTCTAGCCTGGATTTAGGGTGAGAGAGGGGAAGTCCTAATTGGGTGAATTCCTAATCTCTCTGACTTCATATTTACCTTAAAAAAAAATCAGTCATTGTTTTAGTGCCAGGAGGTCTTGCTTGGGCCCTCATATTTTTCCCTATTCCTGGTGCCTGCTGCTGTGTATCATCACACTGATTAATAGAGATAGGAAATATTTATTTGGTTGGAGTCAGGGTCTTTTCCAAATAGGGGCAAAACCTCTTTTTAGGCTTTGGAAGGAAGCCAAGGACCTTTTATTCCTCTCTGATCCCTCCTGTGCTACTGCCAGAACTTCTTGTCCTTGTGAATATGTAGTGGTTTCACCAACTTCTCTGACTCTACATTAAACTGCTTGTCCTTGAGGCCTTGGTAAGCCAGAGAACAGACCCCCGTGGGGAGAATATTCCTAGAAAAATATGCCAGAGCTCTGAATCTGACGGGCTGTTCTTAGGGCAGTTCCCTCATCTCTCCTTTCATCAGTGATGGCGGAGAGGGACTGTCTTTGCTAAGTGGCTGGTGGTAGTGTCATGGCCTAGACTAGAAGCTTGGGTGGTTTCCTAATTTGGCATCACATGTTAGCATCAGTCTCCTCCCTGGTTTGCTACTGGAGCTAACTGTTTACTGACGGTAGTGAGCCAGCCAATCAACAAGCATTTATTATTATTATTATTATTATTATTATTGTTCTTACTGTCTGCCTTGCACTGTGCTGAGCACTAGTAGTGCAGACACAAGTGGAAAGGAAGATAGTCCCTGCCCTCAAAGAGCTTACATTCTAATGGGGAATTTAACCGATAAAAGGGAGCTGAAAAGCAGGGGGAGACAGGACCTTGTAGAAGGGGCCTGGTGGGATGGGTTAGTGTTGTGGAGAGTCCAGTGGAGTTGAGTCATTGGGGCAGCCTGGGAAGGAATGAGGACCTGATTGGCCCAGGACTCCTTAAATTGGCAGTTCTGGGAGGAAGCAGCCCATCAGAAGTGGAGGTCTGTGGGGCAGATGGTATTTCCAAGTGTAGAGCGAGCTTGTCCTTCTACCTGGGTCTTCCTTGAGTGCTGATTGGCACCCTTTTACAGGCTTTGCTTCCAGCTCTAGTCTGCTTCTGCCGTCATTCATAGGCCTTGCCAAGGGACAAGGGGCAGATGGGCACTGAGGATGCTTGTGTCAGGTCTGCCCTTCTTAGTCCACAGTTGTAGCCTGGGCGGAAGGGTTCTTCTTGATTCTGCACAGAATGGCCAGCCTTCCTTCCCCTCCGCTGGCCACTGTGATTTCTTACTCCCAGTCTTAACTTCTCTTCTTTATCACTGATAGACTTATCTATTGTACCTTGGAGCCTTGTGCTCTTGTCTTGATTCTGACGTCTTAGAGTAGCTCTCTCACCTCTGGCTTTCCTTCTTCCCTCACCCTCATTGCTTCCAGTGTATGAATATCTTTCCCTACAGTGCATACCACAAAGAATTTGAATTATTTCTGGGAATTTTCAGGGTGAGAGGGAGAAATGGGACCTTCAGATTGGGAGGGAGGATTGTCACCTTAAATATAAATATAGCAGTCTGCAAGGAGCGGCCCTGGGAAGTGGTCAGGTTTGGCAGACAAGGTTGCTGATACTTTTCCTTCAGTGTGAGAAGCCTACACATTCTCTTCACTTTGTACGTCTGAAATGCCTCCTGCTCCCAAACAGAAACACCATTTTGTCAGGGCCTCTTTTTTGCTCACCACTTTCCAAGGGTAGATACCTTAAGTCAGGAACCTGGTGGGCAGGAGACTTCTTGAGGCTATGATGACAAAGAGGCTTTCGTGGCAGGCGGGAGGGTTCACTGGATGAGCAAGGCCTAGGGCAGGTGCTTTGGTGGCAGTGACAGGGGCAGGGGAAATGGCTTGGGTGGCATACGGTATCTTCAAGTCCCACTCATTCCTTCTCAGCCTAAACTGCTCCTTTGGCCCTTTGGGGCTTTCAGGAGGATATGCTCAGCTGTGGAGCTAAAAGTGCGTCTTTTAGCCAGCTCTTGCCAGCCAATATGACTAGCTTGAGAAATTGTTCTGAAGGTCACCCTTTCAGGGAAAATAGGGGATACAGAGGAGCAAGTTGAGAGTCAAGAGGACTGGGTCAGGCAAGAGGATGACCTTCTGCCTCTTGTTTCTTAGGAAATTGTACGAGCTGTTCTGCTACCTTCTCAGTGCTGAAGAAGAGGGTGAGTCTTCCTTTCCCGTAGTGTTGTGGGCCACAGGAGGGGGCGGCCTCTTCTCAGGCCATCCCAGGCTTGGTTCCTCAGTTGGTCCAGGCTTCTGTATGGAGTGGGTTACTTTCCTGACATAGCTTCACATTTCTGTAGCATTTGTCTCTGCCATATCTACCTTAGGATTGCAGATATAGTCTAGTGCTCAGATGCTTGGGTACCCTCACAAAGCATCATAGTACTCCACTCCTGGGCAGTTGAAGTCTCCCCCTTTGCCATTGGAAAGATACTTAAACGTAGGAGCAAGGGAAACAGAGCGCTCACAGGGCGATTGCTAGCCTCACCTGGGTAAAGACCTAATGTGTTTCCCTTGAATTTTGAAAACAGTCAACTAGAATTTATTAAGCACCTACTGTGTGCCAAGTACTGTACTAATTAAGCACTGATGTTTAGCTTAATTAGAAATTGAGTTGGGTTGGAGATGATGAGAAAATTTTATAGTTTCCTTAACCCTGGATACCCTTGTCCTTCCTATCTCCTTCCTGCCACCTCCTTGGTCTTTTTGTAAGACCTAATGTCAAGATATCCGTCAGTCAGGTAAGGGAAGCAGAGGTCACTTTTGGGTCCTGTTACTGTCGTTCTTATGTGTAAGCATATTTCCAAAGACTAAGAGGACACTCAAATTGGCCAGCATCAGAGGGTTAGGAGGTCACCTGAGAGCCACTGAGATCTCTGGACACTGAGCTCCCCGGTCTGTTTCGTTTGGGACTTGAAGTCCCTAATGGTTTCCTTCCTTCCTTATTGTGTTGTGAGACTGAAAATCCTTAGTTCCTTCAGTGAGCTCTCTGTTGGGGAGAACCTGAAACATGGGGACCAGAAGGCAGACTTGGAGAAGATCCAGCTATTGGGAGCTTGCAGGGGAAATTTAATGGCAGAGGAGCTAGGGAGCAGGGCCCTGACCGTGAGGAGAGACTCATCTCGTGATTGACTTAGCTCGTCTCTTCACAGCGCAGCTGTAGTAACTGTGGAAACAGCTTTTGCTCCCGGTGCTGCTCTTTCAAGGTCCTCAAGTCCTCCATGGGAGCCACAGGTGAGTGAGTGTCCGGAGGTGAGGTAATGGAAAGGGTCAGGGTGAAGATGAAGACAGTGGAAGGCACACGCTGAGAGAGATTTGGATCCCAATTACAGGGCCCTTGTTTACATTGTGGTTTTTTTTTTTAAATTCTAACAGTGGATAGGGTGAGTGCTTAAAGTTGCCTCTGGTTCCTTGGGAGAGAGCGTTGTTGTCACGGTGGCCATGAAATCCCCAGGATTTCTCAAGAACTGCCATTTTCATGGAAAAGAAATTCTAAAGGTCAAGTTAGTAAGGGAAGTGAGGAGCAGTGGGGCAGCCTGTAGTTAGTGAGAGGGAGGGGCTGATCCTCCTAGCCATCTGCAGGAGCAAGTAAGAGATGAGTGTGTCTCCTTTTTCTGTGGTCAAGGGACTAAGATGGGAGTGTGGGATGCCTCTCACTGAATTCTTTCTTCTTTTCAGCCCCTGAAGCACAGAGAGAGACTGTATTTGTGTGTGGCTCATGTAACCAGACCCTGAGCAAGTGAGAAGAGAGTCCTGTGGGGGGGGCATTTGTGAGCCCACCCTGCCCACCCTCCTCTCCTGAGCCTGCTCCAGAGGCTAGCAGTTAGAGTCTCCCCAGATCCCTCATTCCAGGTGTCTGGAGATAGCTGGGCAGAGCTGGGTGTGAACTTTGGAGAGGTGCCTCCCCTTCCTTTCTCCACCTTTGACATACCTGCCCTGGGGTCACTGATGACAGTTCCAGCTTCTCTTTGTATTCCTCTGGATGACTGGAATGGTAACTCCCCTCAAATTCTGTGCAGGGTAACCCCTGGATTGCTAAAAATGTCCTCTGGGACAGCGGATTATAGGGGAAGCAAGATTGAATGGGGAATTAGAGTGAAGCCAAATCTTGGCCTGATTACTTGTAAGTAGGGCTTGACCTTTACCCTGTGGCCTTCATGATACTGGTAGTTGTGGAAGGAACTGGAACCCTAAAGCTAGAAAGGAACCTTCATTGCACATTAGCAGGGACAGAAACACCTGAGTACTTGATCCCAGGTGGCCTTCCAGGAGAACTTGGCTAGAGATGGTTGGGTGGTAAGCCCTAGCTCTCTGTCCATGGCGTTTCAATGCCCCTACAAGGGCTGCAGTTGTAGGCTATCACCATGTGACCTCTGGGGCTGTAATTGTCAAGGGCGCAGAATGATGACTGTGAAAGACCAGTTAGAAGTCAGTCAGCTGGACATAAAGGCACTGATGAAGCCTTTATCACTGCAGTCCCCACCCCATCCCACCCCACCCCACCCCATGCTCACAGTCGCTCCCTTGGAAAATAAGATGGTGAAGGGAACTTCTGAATTCCATTTTGTCATTGATCCTCAGCTGTGGAGGGGCAGCTTGGGAAGCTGGCTAGCTTCTTACCATTTGGTTTTATGCCTCAGTAGACTTCCCTTTTACGCAGTCCCATAGTTGTTCCCTTTCCCTTTAAGTGGACTGTGGATCCCTTCTCCAAGTTGCCAAGGCTCCTCTGCTGTATTATAGATGGGCTCAGAGATGTAGTGGTGAAGCTAGGATATTCCTTTGACCCTCTGTGGCCTGCTCATTAAGGGATTGTTTGATGCTGACCACACCTTTTTATTAGTTTGAGGCAGTTGTCTGGTTTCTTGAGGACCAAACGGGCACTTCCCAGGCTGTGAGCCTGGTCAGGTTTTCTTTCTACACTGGCACTTGCTTTCCTATCTTGGAAATATTTATTTATTTATTATATGGTTCTTGGGAACAGGGGGTGTTGGGAGTAGATTAGAGAGGAGCCTGGGGCTGCCCTTACCCTGAGACTATTCCTGGAACGGTGAGGTTCCTTCAGACATAGGACCTGGGAGGATAAGGTATTTCAGGACTTTGCACTTTCCCCACCCCATTTCCCTGCCCCTTACCCCTTCAGTTGGAGGCTCCCCTAGGATACCTAGGGGTCAACCAGATCTTTGTGCCTCCCTTTCTACCACCTCTTCCATTCTTTCCCCTTAGAAGTGAGAGCTTTACACTGGAGGTGTGCTAAAGAAATCTCTGTGTACACGGAGACTACAATAAAACTACGCCAAGCCGTTTGTGTTACTCCTCTCAATTCTTGCGAAACCTTTACTCCTGAGGCTGGGTAACTCTAACCCGAAATGCTTCCAAATCCGATTCTTCTGATCCTGTCCTCTTTTCTGTGCTGGGACCATCTTGGACAACAGGGGCATTTTGTCTTTTGCTTAAGCTGAGACTTTCGCTGACTTGTTACTCTTGCCATCTCCTTGTTTAAAGAGCTGCTGCCACCATGATGTGACTGTAGGCAGAGTTGCCATCTGGAACTTGGGCTGGAGCCTAGGGAAGGTAATGTCTAATGCTGCAGGGGAGGAAGTTTGAAGTTGTCTCTCTGAGTAACTGGAAGAAGCAGGCCTAGACACTCAGTCTTGGGCCAGGCTTGTGGCCTTCTAAGAGTAAGAGGTGGGGCTGGGGTCAGAACAGGAGAGCTAAGTAATGCAGGCTTTGAAGTGGTGAAAACAAGAGCTAATCCTTGTCAAGACAGGCCAAGCAGAATTGACTGGGGGCTGAGGGGACACTGGTCAGCAGCAGATGCTGGAAAGCAGGGTTGGGTGTCAGGTTGGGTTTGTGGGCAGTTACGGGTAAAGATCAGGGAGAGGTGGCCTTTTGTATGTCTTAACACTGAATTCTAGTTGGGTTTTTTTTTTTTTGGCTAGGCAATGGGATTAAGTGACTTGGTAGGGTCACACAGCTAGTAAGTATTATGCATCTGAGTCTGGATTTGAACTCAGGTCCTCCTGAATCCAGGGCTGGTGCTCTATCCACTGTGCTGCTTAGCTGCCCCTGAATTCTAGTTCTTGTAGCATGGAAAGGAAGACAAGAATAATGGGAAAGTGTGACCTCCTTGGTAGCTTCCTGAAACTCTCCTGACCTGTCTCTGTATCACAAGAGCTTGGGCCAAAGGGGAAGGTGTGGTGAGAGTAGATTGAGTAAGGGGGTATCTTAGCTGATTATGGAGGTCTCTGGCTGGATGGTTTCTGGATTGGGATGAGGAAACCTGGAGCATGTGAAATTTCAGACTGGATGATACCGAGCCCCGAAGTCTGTCCTGCAAATGTTATCTGCCCTGTTTCTCCTAGCAAGGCTCAAAAGTTGATTCCCACCTCTTTGGAAAGTCCTCCATTGACCTCCTTATTCAAGAAGCTTTGGCCTTGAGGCTGGGCATAATTATAAAGGAGCAACTAGAGTGATTTGCTCATAATCATTGCAAGTGACCTTTAACAAGACCAGGAGTAGAAGCTACCTCTGGAACATTGTGGACAATGCCAAATGAGTAAATGCTCAATTCCTTTCCTATTATGATGGTGGACTGTGGAGGAAATTGGATTGAGTGGGGAATTCAAGTGGGCAGCAGTAAAGAAGGCCTCTTCTTGGTTTAATCTTACACTTGGGACTTTTCTAACACTGGGAGAGCAAAAGGCAGTGGATGTCAGAAGAGAAGACGGGGCATCATTGGTGGGTGGTGGAGGTAGTGATGCAGAAAGAAGAGGCTGTAGACCCTAAGGACAAACCTGAAATTTTGTCTAAAACTGGCCCTGTTTATCTTCAAGCTTTTTGGAGGTGCAGAAACTGGGAATGGAGAATTTTTTTTCATCACACATACTGAGCTTATCAGGAATGTCATTGAGCCTTATGACAAAAGCCAGTTCTGCTATTTTTTTTTTTTTTTTGAGATAAAGGTCATTCATTAATTGAGGCCTACATGCCTAGGGTAGCTAATTTGGAACAGGCCCCTGCTGTTACAGTTTGTGAATCTTATGGGCTACCTGCTTACTATGATTTGAAGTGATTTTTCTTTTTAGTTCAGTTTTATTTTCAGTTTCAAATTGTCTCCCTTGCCCCTCTCCTACCCATTGAGAAGACAAGAAAAACAAAGCCCATTACAAATATGTATAGTTGTGTGAAAAAAAAAAAGGAAAAGAAAAAATGCTTTAATCTTCTCTTTGAGTTCATCCGTTCTCAATCTGGAGGTAGAAAGCATATTTCATCATGAGTCCTTTGGAACTGTGGTTGGTCATTGGGTTGATCAGAGTTCTTGAGTTTTTCAAAATTGATTGTCCTTATGATATTGTTCATGTATAAATTATTTTTCTGATTCTGCTCACTTCACTTTGCATTGGTTCATACAAGTTTTCCCAGGTGTTTCTGAAACCATGCTATTCATCATTTCTTACAGCATAATAGTATTTCATCATATTGGAATTCCATAACTTGTCCAGCCATTCCCCAGTTGGTGAGCATCTTCTGTTTCCAATTCTTTGCTACACAAAAAGAGCTGTTATAAATATTTTTGTATATATGGGTCTTTTTCCTCTTTCTTTGATCTCTTTGGAGTAAAGACCAAATGATATCACTAAATCAAAGGATACACAGTTTAATAGCTTTATGGGCGTATTTCCATATTGTTTTCCAGAATGGTTGGACCAGTTCACGGCTCCACCAACGGTGCATTAGTGTATTTGTTTTCCCACAGCCCCTCCAGCATTTGTCATTTTCCCCTTTTGTCATCTTAGCCAATCTGATGGATATGAGTTGGTATCTCAGAGTTGTTTTAATCTGCATTTCTCTAATGAGTGATTCAGAGAATTTTTATAGGCTATTGCTAGCTTAGATTTCTTCCTCTGAAAACTGCCTGTTCATATCCTTTGACCATTTATCATTTGGGGAATGGCTCTTATTATAAATTTGACTCAGTTCCTTATATATCTTAGAAATGAGACCTTTGTCAGAGAAACTTGATGCAAAGATTTTTTCCCCCTAATTTCCTAAAAAATTATTTTCAAGGGGACCACGCTTTTTAGCTGCCCCACACACTTTTCCTACAGCAGGCACAAATGTTGAATTGAATTGGACTTTGGGTCACCCTATGGCCTAGTGCTTGTTTGTCTGGTGTCACTGTGGGTCATTCAATGGAAAGACCACTGGATTGGAACCAGAAGGTCTAGCTCCAAGTGCTCCCCCTAAAACTTTGTGTCTGGGTGATTATGGACAAACAAGTCACTTAACCTCTCTGTACAATGTGATTTTTTTTTAACCCTCCCTGCCTCACAGAGTTGTGAGCATGCTGTCTATGTGACCTCTGAGCACTTAGGTTGGTATTCACTCCCTTACTGGTGAATTCAGTCCCTGTGATGAGTATGTAAAAGGGTGGGGGAGTTGGTTTTCTTGCCTGACGGAATTTACTACTTTTAGCCACATGCCCAAGTTATACTGCCAAGGACTAGGACCCTTAGTTTTTGCTTTTTGTTTTTTTTGGTGAGGCAATTGGGGTTAAGTGACTTGCTTAGGGTCACACAGCTAGTAAGTTAAGTACCTGAGGTCAAATTTGAACTCAGGTCTTCCTGACTCCATGGCCGGTGCTCTATCCACTGCACCACCTAGCTGCCCCAGGACCCTAAGTTTGGAGAAAGTGACATCAGCGGCCCTGACTAGAGGGAGTGGTATGAAGAGAACACTGGACTTGGATTGGAAGCCGCAACCCAGGCATGAATGGTGTTGACAAGTCACTTAACCGCTTAGAGCCTGTAAAATGAATATGAAAGGTTTGTGTTCCATCCTTCATAGGGTTGTTGTAAAGCAAGTACTTTACAAACCCTCAAGCATTTCCATGTGAGTTATTTGTATTAACAGTAGCTAGCATTTGTAGAGTGCTTTCAGGTTTGTAGAGAACTTTATATACATTGTCTCATTTGATCCTCACAATAACCCCTGAGATAGGTGCTATAACTATCTTCATTTTACAGATGAGGGAGCAGGTCACATTTCTAATCAGTGTCAGACAGGATTTGAACTCGGGTCTTCCTGACTCCAAGTTCAGGACACAATCTCCTGTGTCACCTGGCTGCCTCTGATGATGAGAAGGATCCTGTCTTCTGCCTCAAAACTAAGTGCTCTTATAGCAAGAGATTTCCTTATGCTAGAGAAGGGTTCTGATCAGCTGCTAAGGTCATTCTTTTGCTCACGTCACCAGAAGCATCTCCTCTGTTCCTATGTTCCCAAGGTGCTATCCAGGGCTTTGTTAGTTGGACCTTGATATGAGAGGATTGTGACCACTTTTGGTCGTCACCATCAAGTGGATATGGAGAAGTCCAACTGCCCAGAACAGTCCTATGGACATTGTATTTGAATTGAAACTGGAGAAGTTTCTGAGAAGAGCAGCAAAGATAGCAAAGAACATATGTACCATAGGAGAAGGAATTTGTTTTGCTAGGAGAAGGGAGAGGTGAAGGGTTTACTTGATTACTGTCTAGGTATGTGATGATTTTTGTGAAGGTCATAGAGGACAGATCTTTTTTATGTTTGGAAGAATGAACAGAAGGAATTGAGTGTAATTAATAATAAAAACTAAGTAATAGCTCACATTTACACAGGGTATTAAGGCTGCAGAATTCTTTTCTCAATAACTCTGGGGTAGGTAGTATGAATATTAGTGTGTCTATTTTAAAAATGAGGAAACAAGAGAGGAAGTGATGCCCAGGACTGTATAGTTAATAAGCGTTTGAACTAGTATGCATACTAACCTAGGTGTCCTGACCCCAAGTCCCAATTCTGATCCGCTGGCTGTGTGACCCTATGCGTGTCACTTAACCTCCCTGTACTTCAGTTTGTAAGATGGGACTAATAATTTAATTACTTTCCTCAGGGTGTTTGTGAAGAAAGTGCTTTATAAACACTGTGGGGCTATATAGGTTATTTTTATAACTTGTCAGGACATTGGCTAAAAGGAGCTGATGCCCATGACTCTGCCTGGCACTCCACTGAAATCTCACCCCCATTCTCCTATTCTGGAGCCTTCATTTTGTCTCCGGTGAAGCCTCCCTGACTCACCAGACAGGTTCTTCATAGTGAGGTAGGTATAAAGTAACACTGATGACAACCCACACTTAGGGGGCCTCCACGGTTTACAAGGCACCTTCTTCACTTTGGTCCTGTGAGCCAGGAAGTGCAAGGGTAACAGATGAGGACACTGAGGCTCAGAGGCATTAAGAGACTTACCTACCACTCGTACCAAGCTTCCATCTTATGGCTGATGGAAAT